CATCACGTGCTTTCAGATGGAGCGGCATTTACTACACACAGCCGTAGCTCACCGACAAGTTACGCAAAAAAAAATCGCGATTATGAAATCTAAGAAATCGTTCGCGATCATGACAGCTGTTTGCGTTACTTCTCAGTGAACTACGGCTCTGTGTAGTAAATGCTGCTCCATCTGAATGCATGTGAAAATACCACATTTAATAACATATTTTTACTCCAAACTCACTTCATAACGTCAGTCGAGTGTTTGAAATAAATCCTTCTGTGAGATGATGTGGCTTCTTACACAGAATAAGGCACGCAACATATTTCATAGTATTTAAGCAGTGATAAAGGCACTGCATTATAAATATACTTTATTTTAATGAAAATTATTATAATAAGAACTCAGATAAACCGTATATTGCCATAGTCGTGTGTTTATTAGTCACGTTGAATCAATGAAAGCAGTTGAATCTTTTTCTGGGTGCGAGGCGTATTTGGAGTTTCAGCACGAGAGCGCCCTCTGGCCTTTGGATGGAGATTTACTGCTGATCACAGAACCGTGCTTCACTGAAAGATACGCATGACAATCGCAGCTTCTGTCGAATCGCGATCTCGATTCCATTTCGATTTATCGTGCAGCTCAGGCTCAGTCGCTGGGAAACTAACCTAGGGTGCGTTTCCCAAAAGCATTGTTAGTCAACTATGGTCACAAGTTCTGTCATTTACAACATTGTTTGCGAATTATAGTTTCGGGAAACACTGAATCGTTGAACCGTGTTGCAAACTTACGTGGTAGGAACTACAGCTCACGACCTGTGGTTGGAAGCAATGTTTCTTGTTAGTAAGACATATGGGTTAAATTAATTATGCTCTTGGACACAATAAGCAAGCAAACATGCAGTACAATCTATATCTTCCATTATATGGAAATAAAAATGCATTTTAATCTATGTATTTTTGCGCGTCCTCAATAAGTGCCGCTTTTGAAGAGTGCGCATGTGCATAAATACATAAGGTAACCCCGGAGTATGACGTAAGAGGAAACCCGCGATGAATCCAACATCAAAAAAAGCAAAATGACAGAACAAAAAATAGTAAATTAGTCGTCGGGTGCCATGTTCAGTACAGTAGCATTTTAGAGATCTCTAATCAGTTAAATAGCACAAGTTGTTACTCTACCACATGACAGACTCTCTTAGCAGTGCGCTGACTGCTGAACTAGGGAGCTGAATTGATTAGATTTTTTATTTTTTTTGTCCATTCACACTATTATAAAGATGGCATTTATTAAAGAGGAGAGTGAAGACGTGAAGATTGAAGACGTGAAGATTGAAGAAGTATTCAGAGTGAAACAAGAAGATACTGAGGAACAAACAGGTGAGTTTTCATTCTCATTGGATCCTTATTAAAATGTCAGGCTCTACAGAAATGAATGATATTTTTGAAGAATGTCATGTAAGTTTCATCATTTAAATAGTTTTATTTGACATGGAGACTCATGTGTGCAGACATATTGAGATATCATGACTAGACCAATACCAGTGTTTCCCATATATTGATTTATTTGTGGCCTGCCACAATGTCAAAACTGAAGGAAACTGTCTTCAGAAAATTTTGGATGTCATTTTCATTTCATCTTGCCTGTAATGCCTGATAAAGCAGCGTTTGTGAGCGGAGCGCTGCTTTGTGTACAGCCGTTACCGAGGCGAAAACTATCTCTTCCGCTCCAAAAGCACCTCCTGCTGGCAGAGAATTAATTTGCGTAAATATATGTTTCCCCCGGGGGAAGTGCTGCCACACATAGAGTGTAAGTCTGTGTGGAAACACTGCAAATACTAATGCTGCCTTCAAGCTGAGAAGCACCTACTTCCATCCGTTATTATGTCATGCATTAAATAAAAATAATGAACTTATTAATAACCTAAATGATAGTACATAGGAACCTCACTGTTAACTGCCCAATATCAACTTCTGAACTGAAAACAATGACAACTATTCATTAGGGGTGTGCGATATACATTATCGTCTGCGATTAATATCGCAATTGTTGTTTTAACGATGTACGATTTGACATTATCGAGTATATTACAAAAACCAAACAAAAAACACCTACAAACTGCACTCATACATCACGTGATGAAGTCTAGTAGGTTAAACAGTGCACGTGTGCAAATTTAGAGTGCGTTCTTTCACTGCATGATTCAGTCTATTAAAATGCATTTAAAACGATCAAAAAATTCAAGATATGGGGACAGAAAATGTATACATTTATATAATTTCATATAGAGATCGACCGATTTGGGTTTTTCTTTGGCCGATGCCGATATTTAGAAATCAGGTCAGCCGATGGCCGATATGTGATGCAGATTATTTGGCAATCTGCATTAGTGCTGGGTGGTTTACCGGTTCATACCGAATACCGGTGTTTATTTTTGTAATGATATGAATTTTTAAAATACCGCAATACCGGTGTATGTCGCTTAAACAACGTTCGGAACGCAACACTGTTTGAAAGGGGTCCCTTTTCACTGTTGCACTGTGGTGAGGGAACAGCTGTATGTGTTACTAAGCGTGAAAGTTCAGAAACTGAAGCTGTAGAACTAATAGAACGTGATGACACAGAAGAACTCATCCACAAT